TTTTTATATTCTTGAAAACCTTTGAATTTAAGGAATCAATCTTTAAGAAATTCAAATCAAGTGTAAATATAATAGGCTAAGGATTTGATACAACTGTAGCTTTTCATTAATCTTAACATATAATAAATACATATGCAACAGAAATAACAAAATTTAATCTAAGGCAAGTTAAGATCTAAACCCTATAAAGATCTTAATCTAGTAATATAATGAACAAGAGATGGTTTAAGAGATACCAACCTTATAGCATAAATCTTATTTTTCTAACTTGTAGATGCCTTTGTTGAATTTCGAACTCCTTGATGCTCTTGGAAGATCTAGCATCCAATGTAAAATGTCTCAACACAATCACACCGAAAAGACTAATTACTATAAAGAGGACACATGAGAGGGAAGCAAAATATAGAAATTAAGAATTTTTTGAGTAAAGGACAAAAATATAAAGAGGTAAGAGGGGGTATTTATAGCTGATAAATACCTGGTGGATAAGGAAACTTATAAGGAAAATTAGCAAAATCAAATCCTTATCTAATTCATACTCCACCTCTTTCCTTATAAGGAATTATCGAAATGACTAGGGATAATTTCCTAAGAAATATCGTCCAAGCCTATTAATCTCCAGAATGTTCAAATTATTTAATTATTGATTAATTAAAATTCAGTCCATGTATTTTTAATTAATTCCATATTAACTTTAACCAGTTTCTTATTAATTTACCAAGCTATGATAAATTAAAAAACTATTTATTTATCTCAAATTATTTTCTACTTCTTTTAGCTTTTGAGGGCAACCCTGAAAGGACTTTAATATTATTCTTAAATTTATACCAATTAGTTATAACATTAAATGTTGGTGATTTTAGTGTTATCAACATATTTTTGTGTAATTGTTATTAATAATGAGATAGGTTGATATATATATATTTACTACCCGAGATAGGAAGTGTGTGGTGCACACTTGGAATGATAAATGGAACTTGAGAATATAGGGGTCTGGAAATAATGCCCATGAGTGTAGGGTTCGGGTTGCACCCATGGCGGGGTCTAGGGGCAGTTCCCCTAGCGGGGTCTAAGGGTAGAGCCCCGAAACCTAAACAAACCTTTATATCTGGTATGACTCCAGCCATGCATTTTCCTGCCCAAACTCAGTTGTTAACATTATGATGATGCAGGTGTTTGTTATGTCTAATACGTACCCCTTTTGGCATCAAAACTGTATGCAACCACCAATAACTACCTTTCCCTCTTTTATAAGAACATGATTCATGTTCTAGAAAACAGGTTACATAATATACCCTCAAAAACATGTTTATTAAGATTCGATCAATCTCTCAAGAACATATTAACAAGGCATTCTGTGTGTCACAATTTGAATTAGATCGGTAATTCAAATTGGTTCATTCTTCATTCTTGAACTATCCTACTACTGAATTCATGTACCCCAAGCAAAAGGGAGGAATTACAGATTTCGAAATGTGTTTGAAAACACGATCCTTGAAGCTATCCAAGTTTGTATTTATTGTTATTTTGATCCCTTTACTTCTAACATTGAGCACCCATTTGCACCAAATATAATGGTGTCAAGATAAATCTAGATATCAATCACAAAACCATGACAAATTATTACATTTAGCCACCATATAAAACTATGACACATGCTTGTCACGATTCTTATTAAAACCCGGGGGTAGGTGTGTGAATATCATTTGCAATTGTCATGGTTATTGAGCTGAATTGTAGCTAAAATAATATTACATTCTAAACGACCTATTGCCACACAAATAAATAAAATTGTTGGATAAGCTATTATGAGAAATCTGTAACCAATATTCATTCTTTTATTGTACACAACAATTATTTTCAATATACAACAATTTATGCATTACAGTAGTATATTGTACAACTCCATAAAACATAAATTGTTATGTATGAAAAAAAATTATTGTGTAAAAAATTATTATGTACGAATGACTTCCTTTATTTATGAAGTATAGAATATATCATTACAAAAGGCCCCTTGCTGAATTTGAGGATTCATTTGCTAGAAATGGAGGTATTTGTTCCAAAATGATGTCAACACATTAAATTGGCCCCCTCGATTTTTTTTTTTTTTTTTTTCAATTTTAGTTGGTTTATTTTAATTGCCTAGGCTTCCCTCTATAATGTATGTCCGCCCACTGTTTGGGCTTACTTTTGTCACGTAAGTTGTGAAAATGATGTCTAAAAAAATACCACCTACGGATTCACATTCTATAAAGATTAGCAGAAACATCTTTTATTATCGTGATAAAGGAGTGAAAAAGAGCTGAAAGCAAGCAATAACTACAGTTCTTCGATTGTTGCATGGTCGAAATCAATCCTTAAATCAACCATATTTCATGCGCTCTTTCCGAAAACATCTATGAGAATCCAAGAAATCAATCTTATTGTGGTTGAACATCCGCGAGTTATACATAACGAAATTAAATTCACCAGTTTTGTTAATGATCCATCAATAAATCTAGTCTTCTTCTTGACAGTCTGAATATGGCTCTGATTCATACTCTTGTTCTTGAAGGGCAGAATATTGCTCGGTTTCATCAAATAACTGGTTGACACGCAGAATAAAGAACATGATTAACAGAATGGTGATAAAAATACGGAAAAAAACGATCAGTGGATGCATGAGTTGTGGGTGGTTGTTGAAGCCGGGAGGATAGAAGCACCAATAACATGCAAGAGCACATCCAGTTACCTGAATAAACTACAAGAATAACAATATAAAGTTTATGTTATCAAGAGGAGGAATTCAAAACCATCAAGTTAAGGTGAAATTAAAACAAGTTTTAACTGAAAGTTCACTGACTTTCCGTCGTTTTCTCTCAAAAACTGAATGCAGATGTCATGTCATGTGAGCAATAGCGAAAGAAGTATCAAATGAGAAAAAGACATTGATCTGCTAAACATAATATTCAATTACCTTTATTTTTGTATTTTTTGATACAGGTCTTCTAGCAAATTTCATCGTCTCCCCTAGCATACTTGATGTGAACTTCAAATTTTTATCTAGAAAAGACGATTTTGACATCTCTTTGATATTGTAAATTTCCTCCTATTTTGTTTATCATAAATACCAAAGCAGGATTAGCGAAATCCAAATATCACACTAATCATAACCAAATCAGCATCGAGTACCACAATGTTAAATTAATAGATTATAACGGTTTAATAATATTTTCACTTACGTACGCTTGTAACATTTGATAGAAAAGATATTTGTATCAAACTTAAAAGCATCGTATGTATAATGCCATGAAAAGTGGATTTTAGAAAATATCAGTGGATTTTAAATAATACACCTATTTGGTAACCCCTTGAGTTTCTAAAAATGGAGGGTCGTAAGAATTGTAGGTCCTTAGTAATGCACACGTGTTGAAAAATAAAATATTAGAGAGAAAATGTACCAATTCAGGACCATGGATGATGCATCTAACAGTTTTCAACTCCGTAAATGATTGATGCAAGTGCTTAGGTCGACCTGTCTTTCTCCATCCTCGTACCTCTATACCAATGTATCATAAGATGAATTTTATCTATTTGCAGCATAAATATAACTAAAACCCTAAGAACTAGCTTGACAAAAGGGACATTACATACCTGTAGAGTCTATGGTATCACCAACTAAAATTCTAAACCAATCAGGAGTTGGTCTATCAACCTCCATTAACTCAAAGAAATCACGGCGACAAAGATATAACGCTCCTGTGCTTAATTGAAATCCAGACAAATCTCCTCCAAGAATTTCTACCCATTGCTTGTTATTTTCCATGATTTCTTCAGCTTCTTTATCATCAGTGTAAACAAGGCTCACACCACATTCATGTACCTCCAATCCACTCATTACAAGAATAGAGATACTAACTTTATCTCCGGTGTCCAATGTATTTCCAATTGGCCAATAGCTTAACCATATACCAACATTACCAAATTCAGGTTTGCCAAAGACTTTGGGGTTATACATCAAATCAACACCATTGGTTGTACTGATTTTACAAAACCACGACCAATCATCACCGGATATTGTGTAGTGGAAAGTTACATTAAGTCCTTTGAGCCTCTTATTCTTGGGAAATGAAGGCAACTCAAAGGACAAAGATGACGATTTTGATACATACTTAGGCTCCATGTTTGGATCCTTTACGTCTGGAAGAGATGTGCTCATTATATCGAATTCATACAATATCTATGCCATGTAAAGACTAGAATTCAGTCATATATAATCGGTTTGTAGGTAGAATTGTAATGTTCTTGTGTGTGCTTATGAATGTGTTTGATAGAAAAACAGTTTACCTGTACACACGAACTTCTGCCTTTGGTGAGCTCATCATCACCAACTAGCCACACCTCTAGATTTTGATATTTCTTTAGCCACTTCATGTGTCCCAAATCATTTTCTTCAAGATTGACTAAAGGAACTAATTTGATAAAGCCCTCGATTTCAGACAAACTAATGCAACCTTCATAGCCAAACTCTTGTAATGTGAATTGAGGTGATTCGAAAGTTATTCTCTCCAAAGCTTTACAATGATACACATACAATTCTGCAAGTGTATTTGGAAGACAAAGAATCCATTTAAGTCGTGAGCACAAAGATAAGTCAAGGACCCGTAGGTTTTTCAGATGATCATAACAAGGGAGGAACTCAAATAGACTATTGCCTAAGTTTAAGTACTGCAAAGATGGTTGAAGGCGAAAACTCAGAGGAAAAGAATCAGTACACTCAAGAAAACAATCCTTGAGGAATAATTGGTGTAATGAATGTGGGAAGGAAAATGTAGGTTGTTCTGCAACTGCTCCACTAAAAGTAGAAGCTACCATCCTTACAAACAAATTTTTGTGCTCCCTTTTGCACAAGTTTTCACACCCTGTCATGTTCAACAGTACAAGAGTTTTTAGGTCACTAATGGTTTTACAAACACGAACTAGACTATGACAATTCCAAAGAATCAAAGTCTCAAGATGTGGAATCTTGGACATGTTGCGGATTTCTATTAGATTGAACGAGTCCTTAAGATTTAGAATCTGCAGCGATTGAAGAACCTGTTGCGAAAGTAAAAAGATTTATGTGGCACTCAGTATCTGCATAAAGGCCATTAAAATTCAAAAAGAGGATATTTAATTTCCTACCGTGGGTGGGTCGAATACTTCCAAGCTGCTAGAGCTCATGTCTATAGCCACCAAATTTCCCATGAATAAGTCGGATGGTATGGTTCTTAAATGGAATCCAAGCATGCAAAGCCATCTTAAATCTTCAGAAATATTCTCATATGACCCAGTGAGTTGCACAAAATTTAGTTGGAGTAATTTTAGTTTGTCCATCTTTTGAAGTGCATCTGTCTTGAGGTTTGATACCTACAAAATTACAGTGAAGAGGGAGAGTAATTAAGCATAAGTAAGTTCACCAAAGATTCCCTAAGTATTAGGATTCAATTCCTTGAGTATTAATTGAGAATTATGATCTTGTAGTTATAAATCAATTGCTATTAATGAATTGGAATGAGACACACACACACATATACACACACACACCATCTATAATCCCTTCCACGCATCCAATTCACACTCGTTCCAAGTCTGGTATTTTCAAAAATCAACATATAGTTGACTTTGTGTCACTCACCAGCCATGCGTTGCATGTTTCTTTACTTTCTACAACTCAGCCTAAAGGGTACAAATCTGCTGCTAAACATCCTCAATGAATGGCCACCATTCATGATGAAATTGAGGCCTTACGTGCAAATAACACTTGGACCTTAGTGTGTTGACCGTATCACTCCAACATTGTCGGTTCTAGGTGAGTCTATTATACCAAGTATAACTCTGACGGCTCAGTTGAACATTTCATAGCCTGACTTGTTGCTCAAGGTTTCACCCAAATTCCTGGACTCGATTACTCTCATACTTTTAGTCCGGTTGTTAAAGCCTCCACATTTTTCATTGCTCTACCCCTTGTTGTCTTAAATACATGGTGTTTAAATTAGCTTGACGTCAAGAACGCATTTCTGCATCGTCATCTTACTGAGATAGTTTTTATGGAGTAACCGCCTGGGTTTGGGTTTACTGATCGTCAACTTCCTAATCATGTTTGCAAACTAACTAAGGCTCTTTATGGCTTAAAACAGACCCCTTGTGCCTAGTTTCAACGCCTTAGCACCTTCTTGCTTGCCAATGGTTTTTTCTGTAGCCATCCTGACGCCTCCTTATTCTTTTTTTCTCGACATCCATGCATCATGTAACTCGTTGTCTATGTCGCAATCTCGTTCTTACTGATAATCAGGAATATTCTGTCATTACAGTCTTCACTGCACGATTACACAAAGATTTTTCTATTAAATATATTGGTGCTCTGACTTAAATCCTTGGTTTAGAGGTGACTTATATTGATGATGGTCACTTTTTATGCAGTCGAAATATGCCAAAGACAATCTTACTCGTTCTGATTTAATTGACTCTAAATCTAGTACGAACACCCTTGGCCACTCATGAGACTTTCACAGCTGATGGAATGCCTTTTTCTGATCCTACTCTTTATCGATCCCTAGTCTGAGCTCTCCAATACTTAACAATTACTAGATTGGATCTCTCATATGCTGTGAATCCAGCTAGCTAATATCTCCATGCGCCTACTGATGCCCATTTAGTCTGTGAAACGTATACTAGGGTATGTAAAAGGCACCGTCTCTTTTGGCCTTATTTTCATACTACCTCAAACCAAAAATATTCTTGGTTATTCAGACGCTGATTGTGCTTGTTGTCTTGAGACTCGCCGGTTTACTTATGGTTATTCAAATTTTCTTGGTGTTAACTTAGTCTCATGGAGTGCTAAGAAACAACCAACCATCTCATGATCTAGTTGTGAGTCAGAATATCGGGCCATCACGAACACAGTAACTGAAATTGTTTGGATAACTCATCTTTTATGGGAACTTCATGCGCTACCTCCTGATCGCCCTAACTTGCTTTCTGACAACAAAAGTGCCATATTAATGACTAAAAACCCAGTTGCTCACAAAAGTGCTAAACATATTGATCTCGATTACCATTTTGTTCACACACTAGTAGCTTTGGGCAAACTTTACACAAAATTTGTACTAACCAAGCTTCAGGTGGCAGGCATCTTCACTAAAAGTCTTCCGCGTGCTCAATTTGAGAACTTTTGTGCGATGCTACGCCTTGGTCCACCACGCATTCGCTTGAGGGGGGATATTAGATAATTAGATAGTAAATTATTTAATTATATATTCTGTATTTATCTCTACTTTATTATAGGAGTTTATTGTTGTAATCTATTCTATATATACAATACAACACACACAAATTAACCAGTGGTTGATTTACTAAAACCTACAACTTGACTAAAGTATACCCATAGATGTATAAAAACAAGATGCAAGAATTTTTGGATCAACTTAAAGAGCTTCCATGTTTTCGTTACATATAAATAACAAACATAAGGTTTTAGTGATGTATTACCTTGAATGCGCGCTGCTCTTCCTGTAACATTCGCTTGTCAAGTGCTAGACCTTCCATTGTATTTGAACCCTAAATAGAAAAAAATAATGAAACTACAGAATTAAAGATAAACTAAGACAATGTGAATGCAAAAACAAGCTTCAACAAAAGAAGCATCTCACCTTTCCTTTTCGCAGAACATCATATGAATCCTTACTAAACCAGACTCTACTACGTTTTGCAGGGTCTTTGGGTGATTCTTGATGGACTATTGTTCTCCCCATCTCTTGAAGCAATGGGTGTATCATTAGTTTCTTGTTTGCGGAAACAGACACAAGGCATCTGTTGGTTAGTATTTTGATCCCCGATACTGCAGAGTAATCATGCTCCAATATCTTCACCACATAATCTATGTCTTTCCCGACAAAGAAACAAGCAATATGCAGAAACAAATCTTTGTTAGATTCATGTGGCAAAGAGTTGTAGCTCCTTATAAGTACACGTTGAATTCCAACATCAATATCTCTTCCCATTAAACTCAATGTACTTTTCCAAAATAGGATGCTATTATCCTGCGCTAGAGAGGAACCCAACACTTCTAGAGCCAACGGATTTCCTTCACAATACTTCAATACCTGTTCTGCAAGCTCCTCGTAACCTTCCATCAGCGTTTTGGATCCGAAGGCATGTCGACTCAAAAGCTCTAATGATTCATCATCATCCAGTAATTTCATTTGGTACTCTTGACACCTCCAAGATCTAGACTCAAACCATTTACCAAGATTGTTGTCTCTAGTCGTTATTAAAATCTTGCTTTGTTTGTTAATATGCCCTGATCCTAGTAAAGCTACCAACTGTCTCGGTTCAATAATGTCATCAAGAAGAATAAGTGCTTTCTCCCCTTGTAATGCCTCTTCAATCTTGAATGTACCTTGACAAACACTAGGTATTTTTCTCTTCTTTCCACCTAAAATATCTGCTAAAAGTTTTTCTTGTATCTGAAGTAGATCATGTGGTTCTTTAGATCTAGTACCGATGTCTTCAAGAATGCTAATGCTTTCAAAATTTTGGCTATTTGAGTATACAATGTATCGGGCCAACGTTGTCTTCCCGCTTCCTCCCATGCCACAAATTACTAAAAATTCTGCATTGGATCCGTTTAACCAAGACTGGATATCCTTGTATCGTGTGGCCATCCCTATTAAATTGACTGGAAGATGGACTTGTTTACGATCTAGTTTATTGTATATGGTGCCAACAATTTCCTTTAGAAACTCTGTTTCAAACCTAGAACAACACAAGAAAATGAACAATTTCATTAGATGATGTTCAATGATTCGTTCACAGACAAGAATGAAAATATTTTCTTCAAAAAGACATATTCAGTCACTATTTTAAAAAATTAACTAATATTGTACCTTGTTAGTTTAAAACCTACATAAGTCGTCTTTGCATAAAAAGACCATTTTGCTCTTATTTATTTATTATTTATTTATTTGTTAATCATTAATTATTAATTATTAATCTATTATTAAAAGAAAATTTTTAATTAAATATATGGTCCCTTTACCATTGCCATCGACAAACACCACCACCACCACCACCACCACTACGTTCGATTTTTTGGGTTTGCCGAAAGAAAAGAAGACTCCAACAACCGTATATCTCCTCTCATCATTGTAGTGTGGTCGAATGTTATGAGAAGAAGAGGAGATGGGTGTGGCGTGGTATCCTAGTGGCGAAGAAGATCTAGGAGGGGAAGGGGATGGGTAGACCAAAACCCTAAATCATCGTCGAAGTGTCAAAACCTAAACCTTAGATCGTCATTATATCCCTTCATGGATGTGCATATGGTTTCAAACGGTGTTAGGGTTTCAGCGCAGATCTACGGTGATGGTGGCTCTGCAAGGTCAACTTCTCTGACGAGGCAGCGACTTCAAACGTCACTAGAAGTGGCTTCATACGTCTGTGGTAGGGATGTGAGTAGGGGTGAGGGAATTGGGTGGAGACTATAATAGATGTAGAGAGAAGGTCTGTCGGAGGGTGGATATGGTGATGGTGGCCGGTGACTGGCCGGCGAGTTGGGTCTCCTCTTTCCCTTTTATCGAGTGTGTGTGTATGTTTCCGATCAGCAACAAAGTGAAGGGTGGGGAAGATGAAGGGAGAGGGGTGGTCAGTAGTGTAGTAGGCCTTTAATTTTTTATATTTGAAATTTAAAATAAAAATAAAAGCATCAAATTAATTAAAAATTAAAAACACAAAGGTATTATCAATTTTGGCACGGACTAAATACGAAACAAAATCGTGTTTCAAACATGAAGGGTGCAAAGTTAAACCAAACAAGGGACCATCGGAGTTAAATTTTGAATATAAAGACTAAACATGTCTTTTGGCGCCTAGATGAATGACAATTCATATAATTACTCAATGAATACTTAACTTTCCTAATGCAATCGTAGTACTAATAAATGTTTAAATTTGATTCAAAGTTCAACAATGAAGATCAAAATTCAAATAAAACCTGGGTCAATTAAAGTGTTTACAATAGAATAGAAGATTTTTTCACTTTAACTAAACATTAAACTGCAAATGAAAACTAAATAAAAAACAAAATAAAACAAATATTGATTGATTAAACAAAATTATGTAAATCAAAGCCCTTATAGTCCAGTTCGTAAAAGGCTAAAACTGTAAATTGGAGACGTACTGTTCTTTTCGAGAAAGAATCAAAACCTTACTTAGCTCTAGTCAAGAGTCAAACTTGTATATGGTGTATCAATAAGAAGAAATCATTGCATATTTGTTCCTGATTACATTTTTTTCTCATTTATTTTTAATTCTTAGACACCATAATAGCCAAATCGGCCAACCCAACTTGTATTTATTCCTAATTGAATTACATTTTCACCAACTCCTCCAAATTTCTATGAAACAAACATCTCCTAAAAGTTCAAAGTTATTGACAAATTTAACAACAAAAGATTGACCGGGTCATGAATTTGATATGTAGACCAAAATTTGGCTAGAAGTTAATACCAATTATAGTCCAATAATTGAATAAAGTACTATCCAGTTAAAAATGGATATCAGTAAAGATCAAATTAAGAACCGATAAACAAACATACCCAGACAAAACCATGCCGGCCAAATCAGCAACCTCCTTAAGAGCTTTCCTCCACAGGTTGACTTTATCATTTGTCCACTTTGAAGAGGCTTTGACTTCGATTTCGAAGGTTTCATTTTGATTCCTCACGTCAGACGGATCAACGTGATAAAAAATTGGTAGAACGAAGTGATTGCGCTCCCTTCTTTGTGTGAGAATCAACAGAAGCTCGTCTAGGCACCAAGTGGACGTTGCATAGTTTTTTGACAATACAACTATTGAAGCCCTGGACTCTTTAACTGCACTCTCGATCTCTGGCTTCAGGTGTTCACCTCTGTTGATTTCTTCGTTATCCCTAAAAGTACAAATTCCTGCTCGCTTTAATGCGTAATAAAGATGATCTGTAAAAGAATCACGAGTGTCTTCGCCTCTAAAGCTTAGGTAAAGATCATATTTGTAAGAATTAGCAGTAGGAGAAGTCGTAGTGCAGGAGGAAGAACTGGAAGCCATTGAAGTTTCATATGCGAGAATAGAAGATGAAGACTAATTCCATCTTTTATGATAGACAAATATAATAATAATAAAATATCAAGTGGGTCTGGTTTTAGTAAAAGAAAATATTCATACAACAGCCAGCCATACACACCGATGATAAGTGATTAAAGGTCAACAATGTTTTATTTTGTTTGTAAAAAAACTATATTATTTTTTCATTTTCATTATATCATAACGTTTTAAAAATATTCAAAAACAAAACACAATTCTCGATTTTTCAAATATGTGCCTAAGGCCATATAAAAATTATTATTATAATTAAATGTGAAATGCATTAATTATGAAGATTATTAATGAATTTTATATTTAATTATGATAATATTTCTTATAATTAATGTATTTAATATTTAATTATGATAATAATTATGATTAATAAATACTTTTTATATGTATCCTTAAACCAAATATTAGAAAATCTCATTATCGTATGCTATGCTACAGCAAATATAGCTCATTTTTAAGATTAAAAAAAATACTGATGTGGATATTACCTAGCATATATATATATATATATATATATATATATATATATATATATATATATATATATATATATATATATATATATATATATATATATATCAATTTTGTTAAAAGTCGTCTAATGGACTTGGGGTCAAAATAAAACAAATGTATTTTTGAGTTAAATGGTATTCTTTTCAACATAAATAAAACTTTGTTACCCTTCCAAAGACAACTTTCATGCACGTAATATCAGCATTAGCATTTTCTTATTTTGGATTAAAAAAAGGGCTAAACTTGCTATAGCTGTAACGGTTACGATTGAATTCCCCATTTGATAAAGCGGAATATGAAGGACCTAAAGAGGGAAAATGGTTTACAAACACAACAAAGTTTTCAAACTATTTAAAAACATCCATCATTCTTTATATGTTGAAAAAACTCAACGAAATCAACTTTTTATCTAAAAAGGCTTAACGAAGTTTCCAAACTATTCAAAAAAACCTCAATCATATTTTGTCAGTTCCAAATGTTAAGTTCGTTAAGTTTTTTGAACAGACAAAACATGATTGTGGTTTTTCGAACGGTTTGGAAACACCGTTGATCTTAAAAGTTATTTTTCCGATATGGTAATAAGCCACATCATCTGTTTCTCTTCTTTGACTTTCATAGAATTGAACAAAAGTGAAACTTCGTTGGGTTTTTTTAGACAAAAGCTCAAGTTCGTTGGGTTTTCTTGAACAGACAAAACATGATTGAGGTTTTTCAAATGGTTTGGAAACTTCATTGGGCTCGTAAATCATTTTTTCACATAAAAGAATGAGATAGATTTTACGTTTAAGCTCTTTGTATAAATGATATAGTAACAAAAATAAGATCTATCTCAACTATAACATGATTTAGCTTAACTATATATATTAAAAAAACAAACTAACTACTCTCTATACTATATAGTTTTTTACGCTACAATTGAATACATCAATGAGGAGCTCATAAGTCAAAAGGAATGTTCTTCACAATCACAAGAGAATATTTCAAGCCTCCTTGTCATCTTGCATAGAAAAATTATAACCACAACAATCTCCACCTCAATGCTTGGAATAGATGACACAAATCTTTTATAAACGAGACTTTATGTTCTAAACCAATAAATAGCAAAACTGAATCCAATCCGATTTCAGGATGTTTTTAATTCTGGATAGTCGGTCATAATTTGATCAAGTAAAGCTCTTGTACTTCAAGGAAATAAAGTTTACACCTTATTTGGTGTTGATGAAGTTGGTTAAGTAATTAAAGCCCTTTATTTTTTGGAGCCAAAAAGGGTAAAATAAGAAAAAATGATATTTTTGGACTCTTTGCATGTATTAATGAATTAAGTTCAGTATGCATTAAGTAAAAAGTATTTAGATAGAAGTTTTGGGCTTGTTAATACCTTCGTGTGTATATAAAGATCACCAAAAACAGATTGAAATGAGGAAGTTATGATCATTTAAAGTTGAAAGGAATCTGCAAAATCCCATCACCACGGCGCGCTGGTTATGCAACTAAAGGCCATAAAAGGCTTTCACTATATATAAAGAATTGGTTTCGTTTTTGGGTCATTTTCTCATCCTCCATCACATCTAAAGCCCTTAGGAGCAAACCCTAGCCTCCATCTTCATAGGTTGAGCTTCTCCTCTCTCATCCCATCCATTTTGGTGTAATTATTTGTGATTTGAGAAAGAAGTTCTTGCAAGATTGATTATTGGAGCTTTGCATCAAAGGATCTTTGTCAATGAAGAAATAAGGTTGCATCAGAGGATCTCAACTCTCATTCACATTTTATAACTTTATAAGTCAGAAAGCTTCATGCTTTATTGAGTTTTACCTTTGGATATATGAGTATCTTGTGTTATGGGTTCATTTTATGATGTTTTGGTCCCAAGATCTTTGTTTCCTTGGATTTTGAAGAATTCCACAACTTCTAAGTGATATATTTAGCTATTGGACCTTTGTCAATGAAGAAATGAGGTTTCTTTATGTCCATGTACAAGTTATGACCCTTTGGTGAGGTTTTGGACTTAGGGTTTTAGATCTTGGCTTATTACGATGTCCTACTGATAAAGTTGGAAACTTAATCAATTAACACCCTTAGAAGAATCAAAACTGAGCTTTTGAGCTCTAGAGGTTAAGGATTAAGTGCTTAATCCATTAATTTGTTTTGGACGCTCACCACATTGCGGTGAGGGTGGATCGAAGCGTAGTGGAAGGTTTCGGCCACATCTATTTTGTTGCCTTGTTGCCACGATGCATCATGTGTTGGCCATGGCGCGGTGTGTTAAACGTTGACTTTTTGACCGGTTTAATTTTTATTTAAACTTTGGTAGAATTAAGTATTTTACTAAAGACTAGTACCGACTTTGCTTTATGTAGCTCAGGTTAATTGTTTTGTTGTTGAGGTTGTTGTTAAGCTTCTCTTGATTAAGTTTAATTGAGTCTTCCCATTATATTGTGTAGGATGTTAGATTGTCTTTATGATTCTCGCATGTACGTTATGCATGTTGGGTGGGGTTCATTATGTGTCTTGGGTGGCATCCATTATGTTCCTTGGGTGTGGCTCGTTATGTACCACGGCTGGAGCCCGCATTGGTATGTGGTATCTTGGGGAACTCAATAAACATTATGCTTATGAATTTAAGTTTAAATATTGTAGGTTTTTTTGGCGGTATGGGAAGAACACGACGTGATTACATCGCATTTTTATCAAAAATTAACAAAAAAAAAATAAAAATTGTAACCAAAGTATTAAGTTTGGTGTGATGTTGAAAACTAGAATGTTAAAGATCTTAAAAGATGTCGAATATAATTATCATGCCCAAAATCCTAGGAAGAAAGTAATTATATTTAGAAAAACCCTTTAATGAAATTTATTCGTTCTGGAGCATAAATAAATGTATTTATAATATTTGGGACAAAAATAATGTTAAAATGATTGATAAGTTATTTTGCATAAGATAGTTGTAAGATACTCGAAAAGGTACCAAGATACCACATAATATAATGATAATTTAATATGAAAGTTAATTAACAATCAAACAAGTATGTGAAAAATGTTGTCATTGATCAAACAATCATGAATGTGTAAATCAAAGTAAGAACACAATGATGTATGAGGAAAGTCATTAATCCTTTTGGATCTCCGACATAAAAACTCAAGAGATGATAAACTCACTTGCCTTAGAACTTGTATTAAATCGTAAATAAGAGTTACAAGTGCTAGTTGATCTTAGAAAGAATGTTTTTGTGCTTGAGTGTTGAAATAATCAGATAAGAAGATGTTGAAGTATTTGTATGTGCATAAATCAGTTAGACTTTTATACACAAGAAGAATAACTTAAAGTCTTACATTCTTGGGATTCTCCTTGATCTCTGCTTGACCTGACTTTCTCGAGGGTCTCCAATGTACATGAGGCATTGACCATGTGTTGTTGACTTGGTCTATTTCTTTTTCATTAAGCCTTGAGTTCATGCATAAGATTTTCTTTTAAGAAAAATGATGGTATTCTAAGATACTATATAAATACAAGATCATGGGCTTACCTGAGATGTTAGTTCAAGTTTAATTTATAAATGATAAGTCAAAATTTCTACTCATAACAAATGCTCCCAAAAATCTTCAATCCAAGATCCTCGGTGATTGTAGATTTCTAGGCGCGAAATTTTCTTAGCAAATTATGATGTGACGTGACTCGTCCCTCCAAGACTAATCCTTTCCATATGTTCCTTTAAGAGATTTGAATTTTTGAAGAGAAATGATTTTCAGAACAGAACGTCATATAAATTCTAGTTGCTTCACCATTGAAGTTTAATCATAGGTATTTTCTCTTTTGTTCATCCTTAGTTTCTTCATGGGAAAAAAACATACTTGATATTGAGCTAGGTCTAATGTTCCAGTTATTGAAGACTTTAACAATTTGGGAATGTTGCCTGATGATGAAATTGAAACTAGTATGTGACAATTGGGAAACTTCTCTCATCGACCATCATTAGAGATTAGCATAAATAAATGATGATAACAGAGCTTTTCATATTTTAGGAAAAATATGATCAGTTATATAGTGTCAAAAATGAGTGACCAAAAAGTTACACCACTTTTAATAATAGTCAGTGTACTTGGAAAGTACACAACAAAGTGGTCTCAATGATATAAACCTTGCCTAAACCTAACTCCGATCGAAGGAGTTATGATTTTATAAAAAGTAAATATCAACCATGTTAATAATGCTATTAACTTTAAAATGGTATAAAGAAATCATGTAACACTCGGATTCTTGAGGAACAATTGTTGGGAATAAATCCCCTTTTAAGGATTGCACACGGCATGTTAGACAAACCAACACAGCTTGTCTAGATAAGAAGAAGTGCGACTTTCATTTAGTTCAACATGGCGCGTTGCCTCTTGGAACACAACGTGTTGATGGCTGGAATGAAAACCCTAATCTTTCGGGTTGTAT